AGACTTCATAAAAGGTAGGCGTTGCCATTTTGCTCTGTTAGGACTTTACACAAATTGACAAACTGTTGTCGCTGTGGTGTGTTAAACCTACAATGCTTTGTAACGTCTGAAACATGAGAAATTCAGCTTTCAAATGATGTATAGTTTGTCAAACTTTACTTAAAAATAGTGGATGCAATTATGCGGGCTGTGGGTGTTAAGGGGTTATGGGTGTTTTTGAGATGGGGAGGTAGGTAGATAGCGTAAAGAGAGCAGGAAAAAAGAAAGGAGAGGGTGGCATTGAATAGAGAGACGGATGGATTGAAGTGTGAGAGAGAATCAAAGAGTGAGAGAATGAAGGATAGTCAGGGCTCTAGAGTGCGACCTAATTTCTCAATGGTGCGACTAAAAAAAAAAATCAAAGGTTGCACCGGTGCGACCCGTCGTTCGAGGGGAAAAAAACAAAACTCCGTGAGTCTCCCTGTTGTTCAACAACAGACACATTAGGCCCATATCGTGGTCTAAACCAATCAGAGATAGTGAAGAGCGTATCCCACCCCACCCCCCCTCTGATTGGCCGTGGTCCAGATATTCCTGTATGTGTGTGAACATGCGTTTGAAAATACATGTGATGCAGTCAGACAGAGAGGTGAGTCCATCAGGTAAACAGTGGATGTAGCCACGCATTACGAGAGAAGATGAAAAGAAAGATTGACAGATTTTTCATTAAGAAAGATAAGTTAGGGCCTGATCGTGAAAATCATAGCCAATGCTCTGACACGGAGCCATCAACCTCCCTTGTGACTGGCTCTAATACATTTAGAATTGAAACTATAAACTTCAGAATTTTCTATAAAACACATAACATGCCGCGATAAATGCACTGCTCAAGTGTCCCCTCTCCCCGCTGCCTTTCAGCGGCAGGCAGCAGCAAACAGATCATCAGACGAGGCCGAGATGAGAATTAAGTTTTACGTTGCCTACAATATTGCAAAAGAAGAACTCCCCTTCACTAAATTCAAGTCCGAAATAACTCTTATGAAGAAAAATGGCTTGAACGTAAACCCGACGTACAGCAATGATGTCGCGCACACCCAATTTATAGGAGTCATCGCAGATACATTGAAAAAAAAAGACGTCTGTGCAAATTGTGAACAGTGCGTACATGGAATTCCTGATAGACGGAGACACATATATCGCCACAAAGGAATTCGTCATTGTGTACAGTCGTATCTTGCGGAAAGGAAGACCGATGAATATATTATTGAACACATTGAGGTCGAGCATGCTCAAGGTAAGCCATGTCATGTCATGGAGCCTATGTAAATAATATGCCTACCGTCTCGTTACTGCATTAACCATAATATTCTGATACTTAAAAATGAAAAAAAAATAAATAAATAGGCTGCATTATAAACTCTTGATCTGGGTAGTAAATGGTATTATCGTTTTTATTTGTATTTGCTGCTCTTAGGGACCAAAATCAGTTTAAAGTTTAAATTTCAGCTCAGTAAAGCACTTTAAACACTTTTTCAGTAAGTTTTAGTTACCTTTCTTGTAGAATTGTGCTTCAAATAAAGAACTTTATTTTGACCAGGTTGTTAGTTAATCATTTACAAGTCAATATTGTCTATGGACAGTGATTAAAAAAAATAAATAAATAGATAACTAAAAAAAGTGAACTTGTGAAAATGTGGTGTTAAATGTGATGCAGTTGAAAATTTGGGTGCACCTAACTTTTGTGCTGGTGCACCTAAGAAAAAAATTTAGGCGCACCAGTGCAACCAGTGCAAAAAGTTAGTCTAGAGCCCTGTGTCTACAGAGTGCATTTACAGCGAGCAATGGACCAAAACATTCAATTATTAACTGAAAGCTACAAAACATGATCCCATCTGGAAACCAGGGCTGTTTCTGGCTTGAAATTCTTTTTAAAACCTCATAGAAATAATCTAAGGATTAACTGTTTGTACGTTTCTCCTCCCATAGCTGGTGCTGTATAACTCGGTATCTGTTCTGTCAGCCGTTGCTGGTTCCCATTATCTCTGAGGGTTTGTTTGTGTTCACAGCCCTCGCTCCCAGCTGACAAACACAATATGTTCTGGCTGCAGACGCAGGCTCTAATGAATGCACACAAATGCAGCTGCACACGCAAACATTAGAAGTATGAAAATATGGAGTCTCTGACGTCACCCACAGGTCTCGGATCAAGTGGCGGGAGGCTTACTTTGGTCTTAGCCTGCCACAGAAATGCATCACTTTCAGGCAATCATTGAGTGGAAGGTTGTAAAGATGCCTGAGTGGCTAAAGGCTTATAAACACCTACAAAGGCGGTCTCCTAAAAAAAGGTCTCTGAGTCTATTTCTACGGGCTTCACAACAATGGGGAGGAGGTCTATTGACACCTTGCCAAAGGAGGTAACGGCACAATAAGTCATTGGAGAAGAGGCTGATCTTCACAGAGCTTTACATTAATAGAGAGAACATTACATTTATGCATTTGGAAGACGCTTTTATCCAAAGCGACTTACATTTTTGAATGAATGAACACATATTTGGACAGTTCTTGGTTCCCCTGGGATTTAAACCTACAACCTTTGCGGTGTTAGTGCAATGCTCTACCAACTGAGTCACATGAAAGCTAGAAGGGAGGAAAAAGATGTGGTGAAAAAGGTGTATAAGTAATATGGATAACTGCATTCTGGAGAGGATTGTGAAACAAAACCATAATTTTCAGTTGTCAACATTCCTAAAAATGCTTTGTTTGTATCTGTCTTAAGCAACATTCTATTTTATTTTTAGGTGTTTTCGTTAGTTGTCACTTTTCTTAATCAAAATTAAAGGAAATAATCACTTGAAATACCCTGACTGGCCAAAATGTTGCCAGCTGAATTTAACCTCCTGTCGTATAATTAATTAATGCATGGGAGATTATCTGTCAGATGACAAAAAGTTATTTAAACCCCAACTGCTGCCTCGAGTTGCTTCTCATTTCTTAAAAGAGCAAGGTGGGAGAGAGGCAGATGCACCCATCATGTCTACTGTAAAAGCCTGTGGGGGCGGAGCTATGATCTGGAGTTGCTCAGGTCTAGGTTCAGCAACAGGAAGTGCTCCGAGAATGAGGTCAGCGGACTCCTGATTAAACTGAATGGCCCCGTGTTTCCAGTAATTGTTTTTTTTCCCTCCCTGATGACACGGGTATATTCCAAGATGGCACTGCCAGGATTCATCGAATCAAATAGTGTCGGAGGGTTTCAGGGAGCAGGAGACGTCATCTTCACACATGGATGGGCCACAACAGCTTTTAGATCTTAAGCCCATTCTTAGGGATGGACTCTACCATCATCAGATCTTCCAGAAAAATGGAACCCTGAATGGAAATAAAGCTCATCGAAACAGAGCCACAGAGAATGAATGCCAGGGTAAAAGCTAAAGGTGCTTCAACAAACAGCGTACCGGTTGAGTCTGTGTGAGAAGAATTACTTTGTAAATGGAATTACAGATATAAATAAACTTTATTTTCATGGAATTTCATTAAGGAACCGAGTGAATACTGATCGAAATTAAATCATGCGCTTTCATATAAAAACAATTGAGTGGATGCTTTCAACAGAGAAATGACATTTTTGAGGAATGTTTCTGAGATGAACGATATGTTTCTCTGTTTGTTCCAGTTGGCTTTGACTGTCCCATCTGCTCCAAGTATGTCTGCTCTGAGGAGATGGATGTTCATCTGCTCATGTGCTTCTCCAAACCCAGACTCCGTTATAACGGTGAGATTAACTATCGATGCATTCACGCTCATCTGAGTGGCTCCTTTAGCCAAAAGTGACTTGAAGGTTGCTGTTAGTTACCAGGAAACTCACTCCAGCTCTAGAATGAAACCCGGCAGTTCAGTTTGAGCTTTTATAATCTCCATGTCTTAAACTTAGTGTCAGGCTTTTTCCTCATCTCTGGGTTTTTATTTGATAAACAGCGCCCTCTTGTGTCAGCAGTTTTCTCCTTTTCTGAAGAAATACTAATCTGTGGGATGCAATTATTTGATTTAATTAAGAAATCAAATTTTTCAAAATCTGTTTTTTCCGATGGTTGCAGTGAGTTTTGCTTCATAAACACTAAAAATGGGAAAGAGATGTTTGTTCTTTATATTATTCAAAGATGACCAAAAAAATGAAGAATAAGTAAACGGTTTGATGGAATGTTCAGAAAACATGAGCATCGGGGCCGGATGGTGGATTATTGTTCTCATCTTTTAATTCTGGATTTGTTGTTGCATTGCTTCATTCACTAATCTTGAATAAATGAACTGGAATCTGTATACAGTGAGTTTCAACACCGCTCAGATCATATTGGGTGCTAAAGTATCGGGTGTAAAATCACCCGTTCCCAAAGTATTGGGTTAATAATACATGCTGTTCACTTTACCAGTGTAAAATAAATGGTTTTACTTTTACACCTCAAAGTGCAAAATAGAAGTGCACCAAAATCATGACTCCGCCCACAACAACTTCTATCTCAAGGAGAGACGATGCAATTTTGTCTGGTGATGAAGTGAAACACCCTATGGCCAAAGTGTTATTTTTAGCGCTCTGAATTCAACACTTCAACTTATAACACCCAATCGATTAGGACCGTATATGATCTGAACAAGGGTTGTCTTGACACCGCTACATCTATTTTTCTGCTCTGTGGTGTTTATGGCTCTTCTGTGATGTTCTGCTTCTTTGACTCCTCTCTCTCTCTCTGTCTCTCTCTCCAGATGATGTTTTGTCGAGGGACTCGGGCGAGTGCTCCATCTGTCTGGATGAGATGATCGAGGGTGATGCCATCGCCCGTCTGCCCTGTCTCTGCATCTACCACAAAGGGTTTGTGAGACAATCACTGTTTGAACTTAAGAAAATGTTATTTTGAGAGCATTTATTTAATCTAGATTAAATTTTTTTGATTGAATGTTGATTTATCCTTTTTCTGAGTCATATCTGAACACAATAATCTTTAGAAGTCTCTGCACGTACCGGGAAGTGTGCCTGTCCCATCAGATGTTTTGAATTAAGTATGAATGATGCGATGTTTGATTTTGATTTGAAATATAAAGTGTAGGTTTCAAAATGGTTATTAGTATTGATGCTTTTGGTTTTAAACCAATAATAAATTTCAAATTAAAATATGATAAAATGTGTGACCGTCTTCCAGTTTCATTTTACAGACAATAAAGTAGGGATAACCTTTAGAAATACAAGACCTGTGATATGGCTTGTGTTTTGACTTCAGCTTTGCTTTTTTTGTGGAGGGTGTTATTTATTCTTTTTTTTGTCAAAAAACTATTAAAAATGAAAAAAAAAAACTGTTCTTACTCAATTTTTGAAAAATGACTAATTTACTTCTCAGAATTATATTTTTTGTACAGCTTCTGTTTGTTTGTAATTATTGTGTAATGTAATAAAACACATTTGGAAATAAAAAGAAGCTGTGGTTGTAATCAAAATGATATCAAATAAATGTATTTTATAAGTGGTAACAAATGCTCAAAAAGGCACCAGACTTCTAAGGGTTAAATAATCTAAATAAAATAAACATGTTTTGTGTGTTTTACCATTATAAAATGTGAACTCAAAGATAACCTTTCATCTTTAATCAATCTAATATTTTTATTTTATATTGTGAAAATGATTTCAGTTGTTTTACTTTTAAAAAGGAATCGGCTGATAAAGAACTCAGGGTTTTCTGTTTACTATAGAATATTTTATTAGCAGACCAAATATAAACAGGTAAAAAATGTAACGGTATACTTAGGGAAATAAGTATTTGACCCCCTGCTGATGTTGAAAGTTTACTCATAGACAAAGAAATGATCAGTTCAAATGTTTAATGGTTGATTAACAGTTGGAGACAGAATAAAATGCACTTTTACAAAGAGGAAACAAGTATTTGACCCCTTCACAAAACATGTGTAGTAACCAGTGGAACTCTACAAAAGAGAGCAGCAGAGAAGGATCTCTTGTTTCTTCTGTTCAATCATCTATTTTTGCTCCTGCAGGTGCATTGACGGCTGGTTTGAGGTCAGCAGATCGTGTCCTGAACATCCCACAGATTAACGACCACTGACAGGTCTGACCTTACTCTTCACCAACCTCTCACCTTTTATCTCCTTTAATAAGAAATAGTCAAGTTGTTTATGTTGGTTTTTTAGATATTTCTTGGATAGAAGAGAGGATGAAAACAGCCACCTTTCCTTTTCTTCTGCAGATGTGGAATCCATGTGTTTCTGAGATTCATGGAGAGAAAACAACCTGTGCCAAATCTAACATTTATTCCCAGAGGCCTGGTTCAACAGTGTCTACATGGTTACTCGTGAAGCTCTGGTGTTGTAGAGGGAACTTGAGGATCTTTTATTTTGCACCAGATACCAGCAGCAATGAAACCGCACAAGGATGGAGAGCTTGGGATTCACAGGATTGTTTTTAGCCAAATTTGTTTTACAAGGACACAAATCTTGAAGATGTTATGAGCAAAATAACAAAGAGATACTTGATTCTCTTCAGGTAACTTCCCTCATTTTATGGTGAAAAGAGTTTCAGAAGCTGCTGGATGGATGGCAGTCGATATCATTCAGCTGTACTTTTCTGTATATATTTAAAGAATTATTAATCATGTACATAAATAATAAATAAATAAATTTACAAATACATAAAATATGTGTATTTGACTTTTTTTGTGCAAATGGTGAACAATCATTCATTTCCCAACCCGCTTATTCCCTTTCAGGGTCATGGGGGTCTGCTGGTGCCTATCTCCAGCACACATTGGGCGAGAGGCGCTAACTCTGGGGAGTGGTATAAATAACTGTAAACAGAATCATTCTCAATAAATAACAGTGAAATTCAAGTGCCATCATAATGTATTCATGTGTTTAAATGTTTGTATTTATAAACAAATCTGATGTTTAGCAAATCTTAAAAAAAACATTAGGATAGTGGATTCACTTGCTGAGAATATTCCACATTTATGATTTTACTAATGATTAAGACGATATACAAAAACAATTGTAATTGACATTGGACATGTCAATCCATTTCACAAACCAATGAGATGTGTTGCGTCAACGTCATTCATTTATTTCCAATCACTAGGTGCGTTCGACTTCATGCGGCGCTGCGCAGACCGATCGGCGGCTGACTTGAAGTAGTGCATGCCGGTTAGAAATTCTGTCCGACCTGAACCGGCGCTGACGTCACGTGACGTTCACGTGTGGCATCAAAGTAACGCGAGAGCGTTTCGATAACAGCCGGCTTGCTCAGCCAGAGCAGCATTTTAGGAGCGACTGCGCCAGGATATGATGACGTCACAGCGTCTCCTGATTGGCCACATTCACCACATGACGATGATCACGCGTGTTTCGTGCTTCAATCCATACAACTGCATAACAAATCAATTTGCATGCCATTTCGTAAATAGTTTACGATCTTTTGACTCCAGTACATTTTTTCCCTTAAATGATTTTTATTGGATTTGTGCATAAGTTTATTATTGTCCTTTTTTCATACAGACCATCTATAGTATTCAGCTGCATATTAGAGTAATATTTTTTTATGGAATAACTAAACTGACTAACTGAAGGTAAGAGTTAAATGTAAAAAAAAAATACATACCACAGAACACAACATAACTACAAAATTATACTACATAACTACAATCTGAATCAAACTACAAAAAACCACAGCCTAATTTCTTATAATGTGCAGGCCATTCATGTTCAATGTTTTTAGTTTATTAAAACTTGTTTATGCCATAAATATCACATACATTCTAAACCACAAAAATTACAAACAGACAACCACTTAAATCAGACCAATTGAAATCTGTTAAGTGTTAATCTGTTAAGCGCACATATATGTTGATTCTGCTGCATTTCTTCCAACAGAAAAGGTATTTCTATAACTTCCAGTTCATCTGCGACAAAGTAGGCAAACGCCACGGGACCTGCCATGTTTCATGAAGCAACGAGATTCCCAACGTGTCCGACTTGACGGCTCCGTTTTCAGCTCCTCCCCGACTGCTTTCGGCTAATCTCGCCGAGCGGTCTGCACAGCGCTGCATGAGCTCGAACGCGCCTAAAGAGAATTATATGTAGGCGTGGCTACTTGTGAAGCCCCGCCCCAGAGTTAGCTCCTCCTCGATCTGCAGCCTACAGACTGAGGTACTTGGCGGGGCTGCTGCTGCAGCTTCCTCTTACGGAACCGAAAGTGAATCGAAGTGCGTCTTTAAAAGCTGACGCCATTGTCAACTTTAGTCGTCACTCCTGGTAAAAAACATATTTATTTAAAACTGTGGTATTAATTTATTACACGAATCTTATTTGTCTGCTAGAGTCTAATTTATCACTTTGTTACCCTCTGGCAGTCGATATAGTGTTGAATTTTCCGGTGTACGTTCGTAGTTTCGTTTTGTTTTTACAAGTGTTCTTCCTCGAATCCATATTTGTCGGATTTTATTGGTCACTAGAGTCGCTTTTATAAATCTTGATTGTCATAGGATCTATAATGTTCGTACTTTGCTGTAATGGTGTTATTTTGTGATTCTTTTGATGTATTTTCTTGTAGCGTGACCAGGTGTTTACTGCTCGTGTGTGACTCAAGAAATCTCTTCGAAATGCAGGTGAAAATTTAACCGAAAACAAAGAGACTCTAGATGCTTTATTGTGAAAAATCTTAAACTCTTCTTTTCTGGGTTCCTTTAAAGGACGAGCAGGACCCAGTGTTTATGAAGAGTGATGAACCTCTTCCCCAGGAGCCACAGCTGTCTGCAGATCTGAAGTATGAGACAGATCAATAGATACATTAATAATGTTAAGTTTATCTCTTGATAATCATACTTGTCTTACTACAGAAGATCATCACCAGAACCCAGTGCTGTGTCTATGAAGAGTGATGGGTCTATGGCCCATCCCATAACGTTCAAGGAAAAATATCACTCTTCTGTTCCGAGGTCAGATAGATTTTCAAAATACTTACAAACTGATTCATTACAAATAGACTTAATATCAACATAAAAAGTACACTTTTGAACCAATAACATATAACCAGAATAGTGTTTATTCTATCACAAAAGATCATCACCAGAACCCAGTGCTGTGTCTATGAAGAGTGATGGGTCTATGGCCCATCCCATAACGTTCAAGGAAAAATATCACTCTTCTGTTCCGAGGTCAGATAGATCCTTACATATCGACTGAAAATCAAAATGAAAGTAGCTCCTTGGAACAGTAACAGAAAACTTTTAAAGGATTTTTATCTTCTCACAGTGGATCAGAGGCCAGCTGGCAGAGTGTCCTTCAATCTTTGGTTCATCTATCCACTCATGAGAGGTGAGACACTCACAAAACACTTATTTATTGTAACTAGGCCCTGCAATGGACTGGCGACCTGTCCAGGGTGTACCCCTGCCTCTCGCCCAATGTGTGCTGGAGATAGGCACCGGCAGACCCCCGTGACCCCGAAAGGGAAGAAGCGGGTATGAAAATGAATGAATGAATGAATTGTAACTAGGTTACTACCTTGTTGCAAGGGATTTTGTGACACCTCTTGCTGGATGTAGGTTTTTATGGTCCCTAAAAAATGCGTTACTCGTAAATAAGGCTACAGCTAACAATTATTTTTATAATCGATTAGTTTGCAGATTATTTATTGGATTAATCGAATAAAGCTAAATTGTAATTTTTTTATTTGATGTTTTACTATATCTATATAAAACCATGAATCAAGGTATTATTTATGTATAGAAGTAAACTTAAAAAAAATGCAAAAAACACAAATAAAGTTTAATGATCTTTAATTCTGAAATTCTAAACCTTAAATGAAAAACAAATTTGTTTTGATCAGTGAAACTTCTCAAAATATAAATAAATAAAAAGCAAAATGCTTGCACTTTTCTATTCACAGAAATTAAGACTACAAATGATATTAAGCAGCAGATAAAAAAAAGCTAATAGTCTTGGTTAAAATGAAGGAAAAAGAAAGAATAACTTGCATTGGTGTACAAATGAAAACCACAACAATTACTAAATCTAAAGTAGCACCATTTAAATAATCAATATTGCTCATGGGGTGATTGCACAGAGTAATGCTAGCAATGTACAAGTGAACGAATGAAGTACAAAGATCTAGAGCGACTGTCCCGAAGTAAGAAACCAGTTTAAAGAAACGCACTTAAACAACACAACTTTTAGACGATGAAGCAATAGTTTTTTTACTTACTTAGCCTACTGATGTTTTGCGCAAATGGGGAAGAATCATGTACATAGAACACGGTAAAGAAAAACAGTATAGTCTAAAACTAATAAATCTGTTTCTACTACTATGTTTATACTATTATATACAACATAATTTGAATATTTACATTGAAATCTCAACTAAAACTGCTACTGCTAAAAGTTTGATAAGTAAAATCACAGGAAATCAAATCAAACTCCTTGGTCACTGCTCTCCTACGCTCCACAAACTTCCCGCCCCTGGCACACACAGTGTCATCATTAACATAATGAAGGTAATGAAAATAGTGTTTCTCGGGTTTCAGAATCTGTTGAGATTTTTTCAATAGTAGGAAAATTACTAGAGCTATGGTAGTTTGAATAGTCATTACTCTGTCGCCGGCGACAGGTTCGGTGTTCAAGTGAAAGTGACGTTAGGACCAAGTATTGAGTGACCCATACAAGGAATTTGTGCTCTGCATTTAACCCATCCAAATGCGCACATACACAGCAGTGAATAAACACACCGGGTGCAGTGGGCAGCCATAGCTGCGGCGCCTGGAGAGCTGTGGTAACTGGTGACTTGCTCAAGGACATCACAGTAATGGTTGTCTCAGGAGGGAGAGAGTTTCAACACTCATCCCACCTTCGACTCCCAGTGGGGCTGGGAATCGAACCAGTGACCTTTTGATCTCCAGTCAATAACCTGACCCACTAGGCCACAACTGCCACCTACTAGTCCACGACTGCCACTCTAACTTCAAGGGTTAGAGTGCTCCTGCATCACCTGTGAGGCGTCTATATCTCAAGCTGGAGACTCTTTGGTACTTATCTTGTGCAGCTGGGCTCACACTTCTCTTTCTACTCTGTTTAGAACCTGTTTGTGCTGTTCTCTGAAGGGAGTAGTACAGACCGTTGCAGGAAATCTTCAGTTTCTTCACAATTTCTCACATGGAATAGCCTTCATTTCTAAGAATAGATTGTTTCACATGAAAGTTGATGTAGATGAATGTGATGTTGATGTGGCTGTAGATATTTTAATACAGAGGAATCAATGAAAGACAGCCAATCCAGTTCTGCACCGGTTAGAAAGCAGCTTCCATCAGTCACACTTTTGATTGTGTGAACACTCACTTTCAGTCTCTGAAAAATAATCAAGATGATAGATATCAAAATTAACATTACAGTTCTATCTTTTAACAAATCTTTTAACTCTTTTCTCTCTTGCTCCTGGCGGAGACAGTCACTCTGCTCCTCTCTCCTTATCTTTGTTTTTACCCAGCTGCACTCTGTATTTGTCTGCGAGAGACTCTCACTGCCCAACTGGTCACTGATCAACTGGTCTCTGAATGCAATTGACACCATTTTCTCGGCGAGGAGCGTGGGTTCGGGGGAACCCACCTGTCCTGCATGAACATTCGCTGCTGGCTACATGATGGACTCCTGGGCGAAGTGGAGGATTGTGTGCCTGGCCGCCCTGTCCCTGGAGGATGTCAAAGACATTTACATAATTGGAACTGTTATAGCTGGGATTCTGCTGATTGGAATATGTGGAGCTCTCGGCTATTGGCGATTATCAAAGGCGGTCAGTGGTCAAAACTTAAAACTGTCAGGACTCATTTAATGATCTGTGACCGCAAACTGGATAACATAGGGGAGAGGCTGGCAGCAATGCAACGGAAGTTGGATAAACTGGAGACTGGTGATGGACATTATAAAATCTGTAGAAATTTACAGTTTTTGACCAAAATTAACTTCTCTTCCATCTGGCTCTCTTTTATCTCCTCTGGCCTTGGAGGCCACAGGAAGGAGTCTAAACAATCGCCTCGAGTGCCTGATAAGGATACTCTCTCTGCACTCTCCGCATTCCAACACCTCTGCCTGCTTCTCCCACTGCTATAATCTGTACAGGTCATGAGTACAGCGCCGTAATGGTTGCAGGAAAATGTCAGCTGCTGACTGCAGCGGTTCCACCACTTCTACTCCATCCTGCAATGTTTTCTTCCTGTATTGTCTATATGTGCTTGATGCAATGGCTTTTTTTAACCTGCTTTACACTGCCCTTCAAAGGACAGTGCAGAAAAGGCTCTTTTTGAGATACCTTACCTAATGTATGTCCATTTCTCTGTTTCTTTCTTTACAAGATACCGCCGCAGCTTGCGCCGCAGCTTGCTGCGTCGACCTGTCACCAAAGCAAGTTCCTTGTAAGTGCAAAGCTACTTGGCAATAAAGCTCTTTCTGATTCTGATCTCTGACAAATAATCTAGATGATAGATATCAAAATGAACATCTTTTAACAAATATAGTGTTTCTGCACTTTTTAGATGTTCATTTGTACATTTTTATCTTACAGTCATGAGCTACGAATCCAGGTCAGATCAAAGCTGCTGGAGAAGTTTGAGAGTCTGTCTGAAGGAACCGGGATCAAAGGAAACCCAACGCTCCTGAAGGAGATCTACACAGAGCTCTACATCACAGAGAGTGAACGTGGAGAGATCAATAATGAGCACGAGGTGAGACAGATCGAGACTCAATCCAGGAGAGCAGCAGCAGAGGACACAGCCATCAACTGCTCCGACATCTTCAGAGCTTTACCTGGAGACGAAGCTCCGATCAGAGCTGTGCTGACAACGGGAGTCGCTGGCATCGGAAAAACCGTCTCTGTGCAGAAGTTCATCGTGGACTGGGCTGAAGGGAAGGAGAACAAGGACGTCCGGCTCATATTTCCACTTCCTTTCAGAGAGCTCAACCTGATGAAGGGGAGAGAGCTCAGTCTTTCAGATCTGCTGCAGATCTTCTTCCCTCAAACTAAAGAGATGGACATCTCCAGCGATGGATCTGGAGTCCTGTTCATCTTTGATGGTCTGGATGAGTGTCGTCTCTCTCTGAACTTTGAGAGTGATCGGAGAGCGTGGAACATCTCTGAATCAGCCTCAGTGGACGTGCTGCTGGTGAAGCTGATTTCAGGAGATATGCTGCCCTCTGCTCTCATCTGGATCACCTCCAGACCAGCAGCAGCTGATCTCCTTCCCTCTGAGTGTGTCCATCGAGTGACAGAGGTGCGAGGCTTCACCGACCCTCAGAAGGAGCAGTACTTCAGGAAAAGAATCAGAGATCAGGGAGTAGCTAAAAGAATCATCTCACACCTGAAGTCCTCCAGGAGCCTCCACATCATGTGCCACATCCCAGTCTTCTGCTGGATCTCAGCCACTGTCCTGGAGAAGATCCTGAGTTCACCAGAGAGTGGAGAGATCCCCAAGACTCTGACTCAGATGTACACACACTTCCTGATCATCCAGACCAGCATCAGACATGAGAAGCACTTTGAGAAGAGCCTTGGAGATGAAGAGATGATCCTCAAACTGGGGAAACTGGCGTTTGAGCAGCTCCAGAGAGGAAACCTGATCTTCTACGAGGAAGATCTGAGAGAGTGTGGCATCGATGTCACAGAAGCATCCGTTTACTCAGGATTGTGCAGTCAGATCTTCAGAGAGGAGCTCGGCTGGTATCAGGGGAAAGTCTTCTGCTTCGTTCATCTCAGCATCCAGGAACATCTAGCAGCTCTGTTTGTCCACAACACTTTAATACACAATTGTAATAATATCATGAAAGATATTTACTGGGAGAGATTTAATCCATTATCTTACTGGCATCAGAGAGCTGTGGATGAAGCTCTGGAGAGCAAGAATGGACATCTGGATCTGTTCCTGCGGTTTCTTCTGGGTCTCTCTCTGGAGTCCACTCAGACTCTCTTAAGAGCTCTACTCACACAGACAGGAAGCTGCTCCTTTAACAAACAGGAAACAGTTGAGTTCATCCAGCAGAAGATCAGGGAGATTGACTCTCCAGAGAGATCCATCAATCTCTTCCACTGTCTGAATGAACTGGGAGATGATTCCCTGATGAAGGAGATCAAAGATTATCTGAGATCTGGAGAAATAAAGAGAACCAAACTCTCCTCTTCACAGTGGTCTGCTCTGGTTTATGTTCTGCTCACATCAGAGGAGAAGATGGAGACGTTTCATCTGAAGCAGTTTATTGGACCTGGATCTACAGCAGATAAAGTTCTTCAGAAGCTTCTGCCGGTGGTTAAAGAATACAGATCAGTTCTGTAAGTCGCTCTGAAAATAATCAACTGATGACACCTGATCCAAACAAAGAACTGCAGTCTTTCAATTATTCTCTCCTTCCTGGATTGTTTCTAAATTATTTTTGTTAGTTGATGTATTACTATAGTCCTCCTCTGTTTCATCTACTAATTTAAAAAGTATCTTCAGTCCAACTCTTTAGTCTCTCAGATTTATTATATCTCAAAATCCTGACGTGAGAGACTGAGGAGCTGGTTCTTCTCTACAGGTTGAGTTCTTGTGGTGTATCAGCTGAAGGTTGTGCTGCTCTGGGATCAGCTCTGAGATCAAACCCCTCACACCTGAGAGAACTGGATCTGTCTAATAATGATCTCAGAGATTCTGGAGTGAAGCTTCTCTCTGATGTTCTGAAGGATCCTTGCTGTGTACTGGAGGAACTCGGGTGAGATTGATTGAACCTCTACTTATTTTTATTAACACAGCTAATTTAAAGCTAGTGTATAATGTAACAATTAGCACTTTAACACAAGCAAATAATTTGAAATATTTAACACATTAAAAAGCATTTAATGAGTTGCAAAGACGTATGGAAAACACCAAGGAAAGCCTTTTTGTCAGTCTTTTATATTCATGCCTTTATTTTTAGCTTTTTCACCTGTTTCATCGTTTTCCCCATGTATTTACTTCCGCCTTGGTCATGTGATCAGAGTTCCATCACGATTGGCTCATTCTGTCCCTTCTCGTCTGGCTTTCTGTTTAGTTTCTGTTAGTCTCTCTGTTTAATTATTCTTTTCTTTTCCTAAGTGTGACTCATTATTTCTTTCAGCTGCCTCATTAGGGATCACCTGCCGCTAATGGACTCTAATTAACCTGCCTATTTAGAGGCGCTTCTCTCTAACCACTTTGTCGGATTATTACTCTCTATATTCAGTACATAGCGGGCGGCTTCTTACCTGTCTCTCTGGTTTCAGTCACCCTTACGCCATTCCGGTCCTGTCTAGTCCTGTGAGGGTTGCGGTCTTCCCTTTTGGATTCCTTTCTACTCTCTCCAAGGTCGGTGGTTGTTCGGACGCAGAGGGGTCTCGCCACGTTCCCCCCTGAGCTTCAGTTTTCTCATTTTTGGTTTTGAACTGTTTTATTGCTCCAGGACATTTCTGTTTGTTTTTCTGGCTTGCCTGGCCTGTGGCTTATTTTTCCTTAATGAACTCTGGACAATAAATATCTATTTTTGTTACATTTCTCCTTGCATCTGGGTCCTCAATCCTCACCCCCACTTAACAGAATAATCCGACCAAATTATGGACCCAGCAAGGGAGAACCCAGTCCAAAACGCCCTCGAATGCCAAGGTGCTCTTCTTGGACGTCATGAAGAGGAGATTTCTTCCACGCGTCGCAACATGGAGAGCCTTCTGGCCCAGGTGGCTGATCTTACTGCGCAGCTTAACATGCTGCGGCATAGTGACCCTCGCCATGCTTCGGGTGAGCCCCGCATCAACAACCCACCGACCTATAGGGGAGAACAGGATCAGTGTCGTTCATTTTTGACACAGTGTGAGGTTAATTTTTCGCTTCAGCCGATCACTTACAGCAGCGAGAGGTCACGCGTGGCCTTCGTTTTGTCCTTACTGTCGGGGCGAGCGC